CTCTCTCTCTCTCTCTCTCTCTCTCTCTCTCTCTCTTCCTCTCTGTCCCCTTCTCCCTTCCCCCTCCATAACTCCCTGAATAAATGTTCAACCTCACTCTGCATGTCGTGTCTATCCATGTCTCTGTCTCCTGCCCGCCTGCCATGTGTTTTTCTGCCCGGGACCAGCCATTGATCTGAGATCAGCAGCCATCTCTGCTTGGAACTGGCTGCTCCCAGAGCCTGCTGCCTGCTGCCACATGGCCCACTACCACCATTTGGAACCTACAGCATTTCTGCTGCCTAATGCCACCAGGGATCTTGCAGCATTTTTTAAAAAAATCATAAAACATTCTATACTGATTCCTAACCCTAACTGAACTCTTCCACTGTAAATAAATAAAGTAAGCAAATATATGAACAGATGAATGAACAAATAGACAAACAAACCAACAAGCAAGCAAATAAAGAAAAATTTCACAGTTGTTAATTGGCTTTTGTTTTCATAATGAAAACTTTTGACATGTGACCTATAAAGTGTCTGGAGAATAACTTACTACTCAACACCCTCTCTCTCTTCTCTCTCTCTCTCTCTCTGTCTCTTATTCTCTCTCCCTCTCTCTATCACACACACACACACAGAGAGAAAGAGAGAAAAACACTTGAATAAAATTTAATATTAAACTAAATATACAATAAAAGGAAGCAAAACACCTTTACTATAATCATTCCATCACTCAGGAGGCAGAATGAGCTCTGTAAACTCTGAAAGTCATGTTTTCCAGACAGCGCTATGTAAAGAGATGCCCCACGTCAATATATGAACAAACTAAGAAACATGGAAGGAAAGTGCCTGCCTCTGCCAGATATGAAGCCAGTCCCCCCTAGAGCTTTTATCTTGGCCTTTGGGTTCCATGCTCTCAGTACTGCATGAAAAACTCCAGTGTGCAGGCTCTTGTCTGTAATTCCAGCAACACTCAGGAACAGGAAATACAAGAATCTGGAGATCATCTTCAGAAACACAGCAAATGTAAACCATCCTGGTGGGAAACAGACCCTCTAAAAGAAATCAATAAAATGACATTTTTACTTTTTATGTCTGAAGTAAAAACATTCAAAACAAATCACTATGTCAATATTATTCCTGGAAATGATATACAATTGGGAATTTTTAAAATTATTCCACAGCTGTTTTATTTTCTCTGACTCAGTACTTAGTCTGAGAAGGGGGTGGTGAGATTGTAAAAACAGAACAACAGAAAGAGAACCCTAAGCACACAAGTGGTGGCCATGGTGAAATGTCTTTGAAAGGAGACTTAGATGGCAGGGAGTTGCCTTTGACAACTCCCTCCCTTCCTCTCTCAGTCCCTTGGTCCCTCCCTCTCACGATGCCATAATTGTGGCAGCCCCTCGAAACACATGGTCCTTTTGCTGATCAGTCAGACACACTCTTTGTTTTATTTTTTAATTTTTGAATTATGGGTGAAGTCAATTATTTGAACTCTTAGATCTATTATTATTATTATTATTATTATTAGTTGAGTTTTGGGCTTTTTGACATAGGGCTTTCTATGTATCTTTTTATGCCCTCGAACTCACTTTATAGACAAGACAAGCTTTGGACTCAAAGAGATCCAGCTGCCTCTGCCTCCGCCTCGTAGTGCTGGGATTAAAAGCATGTACTAAACATACTTTTTTGTTTCAAGACAGTGTTTCTTTATGTCACCTTGCCTGTCATGAAACTCACACTGCAGAAAAAAGTAGCCTCAAACTCACAGAAATCTGCCTGCCTCTGCCTCCCGTGATCTCTGAGATCTTTAATCATCTCTATCTATCTGTGCAGTTGGCTATCTACCAATCTATGTATCTATGTATCTATTTATGTATCTCTGTATCTATGTATTTATCTATCCATCTATCTATACATCTGTCTATCTATACATCTATCTGTCTATTCATTTAATACTTTACTTATTTATTTTAGGCGTTTTCAAGACAAGGTTTCTCTCTAGCTTTGGAGTCTGTCCCCTAAAACTGGGAAAAAGGAATGTATCACCACCACCACCCAACTAGATGTTTTTTTCTTATGGTGGGCAATGAGACCTATTAATTCCCTCAAAGGACTGAATTCCCTGTGTGCCAGATGTTCTGTAGGGTTATGTTTTCCTTTGCTTGGGGAAATACTCTGCCTCTCTCTCTCTCTCTCTCTCTCTCTCTCTCTCTCTCTCTCTCTCTTATTCTAGATATATATTTTGTCCTGTTCCTCACAGGAACTTCTCTGTTTTTCTTGATTTTTTTTTACTCACTTTGTCTTCCACATTTCTTTTTTCTCTCTCTCTTTGTTTTTTTAACCCTCTCACCCTAGACAGGAAGCTAAATGTTTATGGTATTTTTTCTTTACACATATAGTGTATTGTCACAATGTGGAGAACACTGATTTCAAATCATGAATGTGGAGAACACTGATTTCAAATCATGATCTTCTAGAGGACAGGAGACTGAGAACAAAACGGACCTTGAAAATATGGCTCATAGTGTCTACCATCTTGCTGAGGTCAGCACTCATCAAGGTGGTTACCAGAGGCAGACTCCTAAAAGCTTCCATCTTGGTGAAGTCAACACCCATGCTGTCTGCAAAGGGCCTTCACTAAAATGTTTTGAACTGTGACCCTGTCCCCTTCACACACACACAGGGACAGACATGGGCACACTGAGAGAAACAAATAAAATTTGAAATTAAACTCAATGTACGAGTCAGAGAACACAAAAACAAAACAAAAATATACAATAAAAATATGCCACAGGGTGGTCTCATGCAGGACTGTCATGCATTTGGTGATGAAATTCTGCCAGGGGACTTTGATTTTTAATGTTATTCACATCCCATGGTGATGGTAGTTCCTCTCTTGAACAAGGAAAGTATCAGAACTGAAGAGATGGAATTTCTGCAACTTTCAGAAATGACAAGGTAGGGATCTATTGTGCTCTTCTGGTGAAATGGAGTACATGCAGATAGAATGCTCACACAAAAAATAAATACATTATATTTTCCCTAAATTAAAGAAACAAACAAGGGCTGGAGAAATAGCTCAGAGTTTATGAGCACTGGCTGCTCTTCCAGAGGTCCTGAGTTCAATTCCCAGCAGAGATGTCTCAGTGGCTCTTCCTGAAGAAGTGGCTTCAATTCCCAGGATGCACATGGCAGTCCATAAGTGATTATAAATCCAATTCCTGGGTGAGCTGACACCCACACACCATTGCACATATAATAAAGTTAAGTAAATCGTAAAAACGTATTCTGTCTGGCTTTAGACACTGTCCTGGACCTGGCTCTTGTAGAATAGCTCTTGTGGAACTGGGAATAAAGAAATATGCTGCCACCACCACCCAGCTAGATTGTTTTTTCTATATGGTAAGGAATAAGGCCTATAAATTCCCTCAAAGGACTGAATTCACTGTGTGAGAGGTATTCTGTAGGGTTATATTTTCCTTTGCTTGAGGGAATACTGTGTCATCCCCACCTCTTTCTCTCCCTCCCATTCTAGATCTCTATTTTGTCCTGTTCCACATAGGAACTTCTCTGTTTTTCTTGATTTTTTTCCCTCAGCCTGTCTTCCGCATTTATTAAACTCACTGTATGAGGAGAGATTAACCAAGCATGATGTTCAAAACACAGCTGGTGCTCAGAGGTGGTGGAACAGGTCATTGACTCTGGCACTTCACTTAACCTGATTTCCACCTGCAGGAGAACAGCAAGAAAGAAATCCTGCCAGGTGGTTGTGGCCCATCCTTTAATTTCAGTTCTTGGGAGTCGGCCTGGTCTACAAGAGAGTTCCAGAACAGGTTCCAAAACTATGGAGAAGCCCTTTCCTGGAGATAAAAAAGAGGAAGAAAGGAAGGAAGGAAGGAAGGAAGGAAGGAAGGAAGGAAGGAAGGAAGG